TCTGGAATTATTCTTGATTAAAAATACTTGGGTGGTTGTTTTTGAAGAAGTCTTTCTCTTCATGATGGCATTGCTTTTGGATGAACTAAAAACTCAATATCAGAAATATAAGAAAGAAGAGCAAGATGGAAAAGATACTTTGGGCACTCTTTTTCAATTTTTAGAAATGGCGGTATGCACTTATGAAAAATTGACTACGCAGCAGGATGACTGGAATAAAGAAGAAGAAGAAGCCATCTTGGATGAACAATGGGTTCTCTTTGGGGAGGAGGAGGAAGAGGAAAAGAAAAAGGGGATTTTAAGGTCTGAGAAAACAATCCAAAAAGAGAAAAATGAGATGAAAGTTGGATACAAGGTTAGATAACAACAGAAAGGGGGTAAGCAGAAGAAAAAAAGGGAGGAGGAGAGACAATGGGGTAAAAAAGGCAAGGAGAAAAATAAACAAGAGAGAAAGGAGGGGATGAAAAACCCTAATGATGGGAAGCAAGTCTTAAAGAAACAAAATCTATTTAGAGACAATGGGTAAATTTAATTGAAAAAGGGATCCTGGAAGGTACATAAAAGTGTGTTTTTCTATGTGTACTTAGAGTAAAATGTGTATTAGTATATATGATTAGCTTTTTTATGGTATCTATGGTGGGTTATATGTCTTTATTTTGTAATTGTAATGTACTTGCTTTTCTTATAAAGTTTATTGTGTAATTTTAGAATGTACTAACCAGAATCCCAATATAATGTAAGTGTTATATTAAGCATTATTAAGTTAGGGAAAAGAGTCAAAGGCGTTACTCCAATTAGTGTACAGGAGAAGTATATTTAAAGAGAAAAGATGAATGGATAACTGGAAAAGAACAGACAAAGAATGATAAGTATTATGAATTGTATTGAGATAAGATAAACAAAATAAAACTAAGAAAGATAAAAGAGGGAAGAAGCTATATAACTGAAAATGGTAATAAGATATGGAATGATATATAAAGTAAATATGATTTTTGAATTTGTGTCTGTGCGAAGAGTTTTAACCCGGGATTAAGCACTTTCAGAAATGATGTTTTTTATGTTTTATGTCATGTATGTTTGTGTATTGTTTTTGGAAGGCAAAATTTTGATTAGTAAGAAATATAATCTGGACAATAGAATGAAAAGGAGAAATTGGGATAAGATATGAAGTTGAGCGGATAACGTAAATATACACATTATATTTGGTATGTCCTATTGGTTTTTCCAGAAAGATCTTTTATGCTATTATGCCTTGATTGTCTGTATGTTCTGTAAAGTTAATAAAATTTGTTTTTTTTTTTTTTAAAGAAATAAACTGTTCTTTTAAAGTTGCTGCTGTACTCGCTTATTGGGACGACATTCCAAAGTTGATTTGGAGTGAAGGTTCCCTGCTGGAAAGGATCAAAGCTTTATTTGTTAGAATCTCTGGTGTTCACATCATGTTTTTGTAACATATTTATATCATACAAATAAAACCTTTCATCAGTAAAAAAAAAAAATGTAGTAGATTGTCTGCTTTTAATGTATCCCAGGATGAATCAATTGACTGTTCTGTTTTCTGGTGTAATTTAAACAAGTAGCAAGTTTGGGTTGATTGCACAATTTGTGGATATGCATGTATATGGAAGTAGGGGACCAAAGTGAAAAGGGGCGTGGAAGATTCAATGGGATAGTGAACAGCCAAGACCGAACAAACAGAGAAAAATCCTAAATCAATCTGGGGATGCAAATTATACATTAAACAGATCTCAGAATCAGATAATTCTGACAGACTTTATTGAAATATAGGCTCATTAGTAGCGTGGGCCCAAGAGAGGGATCATTAGACTTGAGTCCCTTCATGTCCACAAGAGATATAAATCCAGCCCATCTTGAATTCCTTTGAATTCTTATCTACTATCAATTATTTTGATCATTAGTAGTTCAGATACTTGTAGAGAGCATACGCTTGCAATAAACTTTTACATTCATTTGAGCTGTCTGCATTTCCTGATTTTCTTGCTGCTTGACAAAATCACTGGAATATAAGCTATCTGTAATGACCCAGAGTATATCAGAAATATAACAAAAACCGAAACGCGAATAAAAGTCCTTTAATGCAGGGGTCCCCAACCACTGGGCCACGGACCAGTACCGGTCCGTGGATCATTTGGTACCGGGCTGCAAAGAAAATAAAAATAAAATAAAAATGGCGGCTTTCTTCGCCTTCGGTGAATGCTGCTGGGATCAGGGATCAAGGACACAAATGAAAGAAGGGGAGGGAGGAAGCAACCAAAGCCTGTCCTGCTCTCCGGCTCAGCGGCTTCGGTTTCCTCCCGCCTCGTTCCTCTCTCAGTCGCTCTCTCGCTCCTCCACCAGCCCAGGAAGAAACTGCTTCAAACAAGCCGGCAGGGTGGCTTTTCCTGTCGGCGCAGCTCCTCCAAAGCGCCCGTTCACCCCCACCCCGCTGCCCGTGGTTCAATCCAGTGCTCCGTTTTGCCTGCCTGCCTTCGTTTCTGGTTGTTTCGGAGCAGCTTCGGCTGAGAATAATAACTATTCGCCTCTTTTACTCAGCCGAAGCTGCTCCGAAACAACCAGAAACGAAGGCAGGCAGGCAGATCGGAGCACTGGATTGAACCGCGGGCGGCGGGTTGGGGGTGAACGGGCGCTTTGGAGGAGCTGCGCTGACAGGAAAAGCCACCCTGGCGGCTTCTTTGAAGCAGTTTCTTCCTGGGCTGGTGGAGGAGTGAGAGAGCGACTGAGAGAGGAACGAGGCAGACACCTGAGGGATAAGGCTGAGGGAGGGAGGGAGGGAGACACCTGAGGATGGGGCTGAGGGAGGCAGGGCTGAGAAGCGGGGCTTCTCAGCCATCCTGCAGGGACTTGTCCTGAGCCTCCCTGAACTTGGTGGTTTGCTGGCAGACGTTTTATTACCCAACTAGGTAACAACATCAGATGTTATCTAGTCAGGTAATGAAGTGTCTGCAAGCAAACCACCAAACTCGGAGTCCTCCCCCTCCCCCCCTTGAAAAAGTGTCTCCCCCCACCCCCCCACCCCCGCCGGTCCTTGAAAAAGTGTTTCTGGGTGAAACTGGTCCCTGGTACAAAAAAGGTTGGGGACCACTGCTTTAATGCCTTCAACTTGGCTTCCCTGTTTAATTGTTCACAGTGTAGGAGTAAACTATTTTCAAAATAACATTTCCAAGGAAAGAAACACAGTTCAAATTCAAAGAGCCGATAACGAAGAAAAAACCAAAAACAAACTGCACTGAATAAAGTTCCACGACAGACCAGGATAGATAATTGCCAACTTCAGGAAGATAACCAGGTAGTCCATTGGAAGAACGCCAACAAAGATAAACCTTCTTTAGGAATAAAACACTAATTAGTCTCCAGCATCTGTTAGCATGCAGGTCCAAACTCTTATGCAAATCTCACACCTGCAACCCATGAAGAGGATCATGGCCCTCTCCTCCCAGTAGACCACATTTTACCTTGGTCTTCTCCTCCCTGTGTGCCCTAGGATGGTTAGGGGATGGGCCTGGGTCCTCCTCTCACTGCTTAGCCAGCCTCTGCCCTTCCCCAGCCTCCTCCACCACCTCTGGAGCCACAATTCCACTCCCTGTTGGCTATTCCTCCTCTTCCTCAGAGTCAGTCTCCAACAGGGGCATGACACAATACATTAACATAAAGTCCTCCCATGCTTACATTTGCTGTTGCTCCAAGCTCCTAAGAGTTTACATGCAATTTGTCTATGATGACCTATTGCCAGGAAAGTCTATAATAAAAGGCCAGTTACTTTGTCTAAGGAGACAATGATACAAGAGTTAATTCTTATGCACTATGACTTGAAGCAAAACAGAATGTCAATATTGTAATATATATGGAGCTCAGGATTGTTCTGTTGAGTTCTTGAGGTTCTCTGAGTGGGATTGTTTTCCTGAAGATGTTTCATTACCAGGCTAAGTAACATCATCTGTGCATAGAACGTACAGAAACCAAGAAAAATAATTCAACATGTTGCGAGGAAAACACAATTATTCTTCTTAAAATGAGGAGGTTCACCTTTGGAATGTGTCTTTCTCAATGAAAAATATATTCTCATAATCCATACTTTTCAGTTACTCAGTTCAACATCATGGTTATATGTATGGTACTGTAACTCATATTGTATGGCAGTAATATAGGATAGTACACTATTGGGGAACAGAGTATAACAAACATAATATATAACATAACATAAAACCATAATGTAACAAACATAACATGATAATTATAACATGACATATAGTGTAGCACAGTATGGTGTAACATAGTAGTAGCTAGACATCATTTATTAGCTACACTTTATTGATCTTCCACTGATAGTGTTTAGGTTATTCTATGTCTTTGATTATGCCACTTTGGCAAACCAATTTGGAGACATGCCAGAAAAATCATGGTGTGAAATGGTCATGGTGTAGAAACAAGCATCCATGTGTGCATACATGTACAATTGTTGCCTATCAGAAAAATCATATGATTATCCCACCAGTCACTTGTTGCTAAAATAGTCACTGAACATGAAAAGAAAATCTACTTTATTTTTATTTATGATGAAAGATATTGTTTGTTTATTTCACTACATCATTTCAAAGAATAGGTAGGCACAAAACATTCACAAAAATTGGAAGCAAAGTTAAAAAAAGGTACATATTTAATATTTCAGGAAACAGTAGTGTTATTTTCTTTCATTAAATGTTTTCCAAAAACCTTGTGCCTTTTTTGTTTAATTTTGGCCCATGTGATTAACTAATATGGAACAAGTCTAAGAGAATTTTTTTCTATGTAAATACATTCTTTGATATTTTTCACATAGTCCAACCCAATCCAATTTGACCCAATTCAGCCAATTGAATGCAATTGAATCAAATCCAATCAATTTTTTTTAGTTTTGAGCTGTTCTAAAAGCCAACCAAAAATCCACTATAAATATTTTTGAACTTATTTTTTTGTTTTCTTGATCCTCTCCCCTTTACATATTATCTTTTTCTCAACCATTGTTCTGTCCTTCTGAGAACCCTACTCAGAGCCTCCTTCACCTGGTCGTTCCTCAGACAGTAGATCATGGGGTTGAGGAAGGGTGTAATGGCAGTGTAGAAGATGGTGACTATTTTAGCAATATGTGACTGAGTTTTCCCACTTGGAGCTACATACAATCCTGCCACAGAACCATAGAAAAGGGTCACCACCATGATATGAATGGATATGGTGAAGAAAGCTTTCTTCCTGCTACTTTGGTTAGAGGATTTGATCAATGTGACAATGATAACACCATAGGAAATAGTTACAAAGATTAAGTTGCCTAATATGATGAAAATATTCATGGAAAAGAGGATAAGGGGAGCGTTTCCAAGGGGAGGGCAAGCTAAGGTCAGGAGCCCTTGATCACACAAAAAGTGGTCTGAGACATTGGAGCCACAGAAGGACAATCTGGAGATCAAAGTTATTGGGACAGTGTAAACCAAGAACCCAGCCATCCAGCAACCAGCAACAAGCTTGGAGCAGTTCTTTGGAGACATAATTATTGGATAATAGAGTGGGTGGCAGATGGCCAGATAGCGATCCAAGGCCATGGCTGAGAGGAAGAAGGTTTCAGTGCTACCAAGGGAGTAGAAAATGTAGAACTGAAGGAAACAGGCTTGGAAGGAGATGATCCCTTGAGGAGAAGTCAGATCGAAGAGCATACGAGGCATGGTGGTGGTCACATAGCAGATCTCCAACAGGGAGAAGTTTCCCAAAAAGTGGTACATGGGGAGCTGTGCTAATTGCTCATCTACACGCACCAGCATGATAATAGCAGAGTTCTCTGTTAATGTGCTGATGTAGACAATAGTAAAAATGATAAAGAGGAAGAACCGTTTTTGTGGTTCACTGTCCAAGCCTAGCAAAATGAATTCCTGGACTGTTGTCCCATTGGTCACCTCCATCTGAAATAAAAATAAGGAGTCATAATTATATGTTGTTAAAGATCATCAAATATGTCAATATATTTCTGACAAATTTCTAAAATTTCTGATCATGGAATTACAAATTCATAACAATGAATTGGATCTCTTCTAAGAAGGTTATTAAAATTTTTCAAGAATTATCCCAATGCCTTCTAACACTGGACCATTTTCAATAATTCTATAAAAGTATAAATTGAGTAGGATTTCACTTTACATTTCAGTGGATAAAATGTGTAGCATTCAATAGAAGCTATTATAGTATCCACACACTGGCTTGAACAAAATGTTTAAGCTCAGATGCCTTCATCGCACCTGTAGCCAAGCACTATAATCCATTTATTATAATTTAAAACTGTGCTTCTCAACTCTGAGAACTTTAAGATGTGAGGACTCCAACTTCCTAAATTCCTCCTGTGGGAATTCTAGGAGTTGAAGTCCACAGATCTCAAAGTGGCCAAGGTTGAAAAACACTGTTTACAATGAACAATACATGATAGGAGAATCTGTTGACATCTGCTGATAAATAGATCCTCTCTAACATGATAGCAAGGACCAGAAGTAAATTTAGAGGATAACAGGTTATGGATTATAGGTGTTGGAAAAGATAGTACCTTTGATTACAACTGATGTGGAACACAAAAATGGAGATGCATAGGGGATGACACAAAGCTTTGCAGATGATCTGTCTTGATACAATGAATGACAGTGCCTATATTTGAAGCCAAGACTTCCAGGATTTTGAGAAAGAAGTTCCCATTCAATGCACTACCAATACCAACAGGAAGAGAGCAGCTACGTTTAACATGGCTTATATCTTATGCAGTGTAAGCTCAGGCTTGACCAGAGAGGTTGTCCTGGAAAGAGGAGTGAGGCAAGAACAAGAGAGGGCCAATGAAAAATAAACAACTGCCCTGGATGAAAGATTTTGGATATGGCATAAATCTGGACGGTTGGCAAACCTTATGGGATAGAAATAAAAATAAATCTTGGCGGCATTGTATAAAGAAAATTTATATAAAATTTTTTACCAATGGCTTATCCCACCATCAAAATTGGCAAGAATGTATCCGCAACTATCCCCTAAATGTTGGAAATGCAATAAGGAAATTGGAACATATTATCGCTTATGGTGGAATTGCAGAGAAGCCCAAACATATTGTGCAGCAGCGAATCCACATCTAACAGCCTGGGCAGATGCCAAAGCCTCACGTAGGCAAAGGAGTTTCGATACCTGCAAGACCTCACGTAGGCTGGAAGCAGGTATCAGGAACAAAAGGATGCTGCCCACCTTGGGCTACTGGCTGGACTGCAGGTGCGGATTGGTTACTTTGTATCCCTTAAGCACTGTGATTGGGCGCTACAATGCATCCACTGAGACCCCCCACTCTTTTAACATGTAAAGTAGACTGAACTTTCTCTTTTGTGACGTTTAACAATGTGTGTTCAATAAAAGAGCTTCCCTGAGCGCGTGTTCGGGGCTGCTCATCCAAGACTGAACCGGCTTGGTCTCTTTCTTGATGCATTGGACTCAATGAGAAGCCCTCCTAATGCGGAGCAAAGCTGCAATATTGGTTGAAAATTAGAAACTAGATAGAAGAGATATGTAAAATTAAAATAGAATTTAGACCTGAAATCTTTTTATTGGGAATCAATGTGGGGGAATATAATAAAGAAATAACATATTTAATAATCCATGTGACCACTGCTGCAAGGTTAGCCTTTGTCCAAAGATGGAAAGGTAATGAAATGCCAGATGAGATGGAAATAATTAGGAAAATTTGGATGTGCGCTGAAATGGATAGAGTAACTCAAGAATTAAAAAAAAATAAGACTGAATCTGATTACCACAAAATTTGGAAGAAGTTTTACCACTTGTTGAAAAAAAGAAAGGAATGAGTGTATCAAGGATGACTAAAGTTTACATACATACATACATACATACATACATATATATATATATATATACACATACACACACACATACATATACATATATACACACATACATATACATATATACACACATATATATGTATAT